CGGTAGAATCAAGTTTTTCTAAATCCAATGAATTTAAATAATGACACACAATTTGAATTGGGCTATGTATTTCTTTAGATACAATAAAATTTTTTATATCCCAATCTAAATGTACTCTTTTTAGATAACTTGTAAACGGTAAAAGATCTAATAAGTGATTTTCTACAGAGGAGGATATCTCAATGTAAACATTGGTTCGCTGAAGCTGCACTATATCTATACTGTTGGATACAAACCCAAACATTAATATTTGAAATAAAAACATATTAACATCTTCCGGATGATTTGCGGAAATAATATTTATATGGAGATCAGTGTAATTCTTTATATGACATTCTTTTAATTCTCTAACAATGTTTTCAAAATTGGCATCATCACTAATAAGAAAACTCTGTATACGTCTATTTTTCTTGAAACTATCCTGTTTAATCCATTCGGTTTTGCCTTGACCAGATAGATTTGATGTGACACATATAACATCACAGCATATATTATGAAAAATGTGTTTCATTGCTTCAGTATTTAATCCATTAGTTGGTTGGACATTTTCCGAAAATTCTTCCAATATATGGTGATGCGTTCCAGGTTGTTGAAAACAAATCAAAGCCAGATAAAAATCAGTTTCTTTTTTAGCCATATCTTCTTGTATTTTCTTTACTAACCCATGTTGTAGTTCAAAGTCAAGTAATTCTAAATTTGCTATGCAAAATAGATGTCCTTCAAAACCATTTCTCGCAGATAAAAAACATCTTTTAACAAATATTGATAACTCTCCTTCTGTTGTTGACTTTGTACAGACTAGAACTTCCCAAGGTTCGGGGCGTTTTTTATGATTAACATATAATGACATTATAATATTTGGAATTTTTGACTTATCATTGCACGCAGCCACAAATAATTTGCCTTTTTCAACTACATCTGAAATCACCAATTGATTGTTTGATACGCTAAGATTTCGACTATGTCTTGGCAAAACTCTAAAAATTTCCTCCAGTATTTTTCCAATTTCTCTCAAAAGTTTTAGATGAACGTCTTTTTTAGATAGTGATCCATCATTTGGTAATTTAGCATTTGGTAATTTAGCATTTGGATGGACAAATCTTATAAGAGTTTGACAATCTTTTTTGATGATATAAGGTGCATTTCGGATTGTAAAATAAGTTTGAAAAGTAAGAATATGACGAGGTGGATAAAATGTCATATAATAGTGAGATTTTTGTGTCATATTCACCATATCCTCCCTATATAGTTTTAGTCAATCAATAACAAGTGAAATTAATTTATATAAT